GGGGGCTGGGGAGGGACGGGGGTACAGGTATCAAACCCCAGAGGCCGGCGATCACACTTGCGCTCCGGTTCACCCTCCTCCAGAAACCACCTTGTGGGGAACACAGAAGGCTGACCTTTCTGTCAACCCTAACCCACTTTGAACGGCTTTCATGATAGCTGTGCTCTCCGCCTGGCTTCTGATGGCTTCGGCTCAACTGCTCTCTCTCAAACAAACAAAAAAAAAAAGTCCATTTTCTCATCTGGGGTGACAGGTTTCGCCGATCTGCGTGGGTGGCAAACTCCTCTCGCCAGATTTTTCCCACGCATCTTCAAACCGAAAGGGCAGACCTGCCGAGAGTTTCCTTTTGAGTCCCCCGGGGAACCTGGGCGCCACAGGGCAACGTGACCAGAAGGGACAAGGCAGCAGCAGGTGCCACGGAGCCTGTGGGACCTGAGCTAGGCCGAGATCCCTGGAATGGAATGTGGGCCTTGGAGAATCTGGGGCAGACTCCGGTCATCTTGGGCTGCTCCGTGGTTTAGGCGCAATGGGGATTTTGATATGGAGGCTCCCGGATCCCAGCCTCAGGGGCAGGGACACAGCTACGTGTGTCTCAGCTGGTTGTCAGCCCCCAGGCCCATGTGGTCACCAAGTCTCTGGAGGGATTGGTACCCAAGAACTCCTGCTGCATTGTTTTGGGCATTTGGATAAACCAATGTTCCATTCCTTCAACCTGCTCACGGGACAGTACGAGGCTTGACTTGAGGGCATCGCTGACACAAGAGGGGGTGGGGGGGGCAGGATAGGGAGACCAGCTCACCTCCATTCTCCCCACACCCCCTCCTGGAGGCTTGTCCTTTGCCCTTCTGTGCCATGGGGGCTACAGGGGCTCCTGTCCCTGGCCAAGTTGGCCAATGGGATTGGCGATGGCTTCAGAGCTGACCAAGCATGGGGACCGGCTGGTGGCCTCATTGACTCGGTAACTGCTGAGCGCTTCTGTGTCTGGCATGGTGCTCGACGCTGTGGGGCTGAGAGAAAGGAAGGAGATGAAGGAAACACGGTGCCTGCCCTCAAGGGAGAACATGGTTACGGTTACAGAAAATAGAACTTATTCCTGTGTAACTGATCAGAGAAGAGGCCACATGAGAATCTGGGCGCCAGGGGAGGGTTGGAGGAGGAAGGGAGAGGGAGGGAAGGGGGGCTGTGATCCTCAGATGCGGGGTGTGGGGTGAGTGTGCTCCGTCTGACCAGTCCAGGGGTGATGGGG